CGCAATATATGTCGGTAGAGCCCCTCAAGGCCCTTCACCTGGCCATTGGAGTCCAAAAACATTGCAATTTAGCCTCCAAAATGTAACTGTTCAACAGTGGAGAGGAAAATCCCATGGAGGGCACTGCGCAGCGGTAGATGTTTTACTTAGTAGTGGAATCATTGAAGTAGAGGGCTCCAGATTTACAAAGACAGCACGAACAAGAGGCAGTGAGGCTTTACGTGTGGTTACCACCAGAGGTGAAAGTGATATAAAAATTACAAACTGCACTTTCGAAGACACTCCAGCAAATCCATTGCACTCAATACTCGTCGAAATACTCGCCGGAAATGGAAATGCAGGTATGGTAACAATCTCAGACAGCTTGATTGTTGGCAATTTGACGAAAAAGACAGCTTTGTGGATAAGTCCCAAATACCAGATTAAACTGGTCAACATAACAGTCATCTCTTTTAGATATGGACTGCAAATACGATCAGGAACGCCGAAAAACAGCTCATTTCCAATTGGTATTTATATTGATAATTGCAGTTTTCTCGATAATGTTTATGACATGATGTTATTTTTTCCTAATCCCACATCAATCCAGGTGACCATCAGAAACACTCGTTTTAACACTACAGACGAAAACTTCAAATGGGACGAAAGTAGCTATGCAATTCGCTTGATGATCCCAGCACTTACACATGCCAATTTCCCAAAGGCGGTCATCCAACTTGACAATGACACGTTTTATCGCAGACCACCCAGTTATATTGTCCTTTACTTTGAAGGGTTGAAAACCGTAACCATAAAACGCTCTTCCTTTCGTTACTGTCGTGTCAGTGCCTATAAACGCGAATGGGTCAATCTCAAAACTGGTTTATCTTACGAAACAGACGCCGGCGCCATTTCTATTTTATTTAATCCAGACAAACCGCGCACTCTGGGATGTGTGAAATCCGGAAGTACTCAAGATACACACCCTTCATGGTCCTACGGTAGTCATGTGATCTTTGAAAACACAAAGTTTGAAGAGAACATAGGAATTGAAGTTGGTGCTGTCCATATCAGCAATGGCTTCACGATATTCCGAAGATGTGTGTTTCGCGACAATTTTGGCGTTCGTAGAAGTGGACACGTTCATTCTGCCTATGGAACTGGCCGCGTTGAATTCCAACATTGTTCTTTTTTGAAGACAAAGGAAAGTGCTTTAAATGGCTCACAATTTGATAAAGGTGTCTTCCTTTACTCTGAAAGTGGAGGTCCCTTAATATTTGAAAACACATCAATGACCTCACTAAAATTTAACAGGAGCACTTATCCGATTGTTGACATTTCCAGTGGGGGATTTGTTCACATAGATGAAAAGTCGATAATGAAATGTAATGAAGGAGAGGATCTTATACTGGAGAATGGCACGCACTTTCAGTACACAGAGAGAAACAAGAGCATTTGTGTATTAAATATTACTGTTTTGAAATATTCGTGCAAATCATGCCACCCAGGTTACTACAGCCTGAAAAGAGGAGTTTCCAAGGGTTTGGTTGTGACGTCTACTACTGAGTGCCATCCATGTCCATTTGGAGCCACCTGCATTGAAAATAACATTGCCGCAAAACCAAACTTCTGGGGTTATCGAACCCTTGGCCATTCATCAATGCTGAAATTAATTGCGTGTCCGGAAAACTATTGTCCATCAATTTCGTCAACAAATTACAGCAGCTGCCGAGGGAACAGAAACGGTACCCTTTGTGGACAATGTGCAGAAGGGTTCACTGAGACTCTTCTTTCAACTGAATGCCGCAAGTCTACAAAGTGCAATGACTATTCCGTATGGGTTGCAACAATATTTTTGACACTCATATTCGCTCTTTATCTTTTGGTCAAGCCCCCGATAATAAGAACACTGGAAAAACAAATCTTATGGTTTAAGAAAAGAGAAGAGGATCGCCCAGAAGAAGAACTGCACGTCAATGATGGTGATGAACAATCCGACAGTGGCTTTTTGGAAATTACGTTTTATTTCTATCAAGCAGCTGAGACTTTGATCGTAGGCTCTGTAGAAGAACTTGTTGGGAAAATTCCCTTTATTCACTTTGTCATCTCTGCCTACAACTTCCATGTTCAGTCCATCAATCAAGGACTTGGCTGTCCCTTTCCAGGACTCACTGCGGTAACAAAAGAGCTTTTTCTTTCTGGTACAGTCTTTCTGACAATGGCTAACCTTGTTCTCATTTATGCTGTCCATTATGCTTTCAATGTTCTTATGGGAAACGAAAAACCGTCCCTAATCCGTTATATGGCCGTTGTCATGGAAGTGTTGTTACTTGGATACGAAAGGCTTGCAGAAACGGCCCTAAAGCTAATGAACTGCGTACCCACTGGATCTGGAAAGCGCTTGTTATTTATCGATGCTAACGTTCCATGCATGCAATGGTGGCAATATCTTCTTCTTGCTTATATTTTCGTTTTTCTAGTTCCTTTCATTGTAGTTCTTTACTGGGGATCTTTCAAGCTGTACAGATCTTCTATTACAGCAGGAGAGTTTGTTGCTGCCAGCATGATTCCACTTCCTTTTCTTATTTACTGGCTTGTCAAGGGAATACTTAAAACGAGAGGTGAGGAGTCTTCTAGCCAGCAGGTCGTCATCACAGAAGTTTCGGACATACTCCATGGTCCTTTTCGTCCGCCAACTGATATTGACAACGGAACACTTTACTGGGAGAGCGTTTTGATTGGTCGAAGGTTAATCCTCCTCGCTTGCAGGGCTTTTATCACAGATGTTATGTTACGCATGGTCTTTTTGTCTGCAGCATGCCTACTGATAACACTCCATCATGTTTTGAAGAATCCTTATCGACATCCCATGGCGAATAATGCTGAGACATTGTCCCTTGTTACCTTATCTCTCATTGCTATCATCAATCTGGCCAAAGCAACTCCATTATCATTTGGTATCACAACTGACGGACCGAGTGGGGCTTATCTAAAAGGTATGGAATGGTTTGAGGTGTGTGCCTTGGCATTTGTCCCAGCCATAGTATCCGTTTTGATCACATTCGCCATTTTCTCCCAGCTGGCGAGGTTTGCTCTTTTCGTAATCGAACAGTTTCTACGTTGTTGCTTGAAGTTACGTATCTATCCATGCAACACGGACCAAGAAGAACGACCTCTCTTAAATTCTGTTGAGCAAAACTTGAATTAAGCTTAGGATGCAAAGATACATTCCATAATTTGATTGCTAATTTGTCTCACAAATGTCAACCTCATATGATTCCATTTCGTAGGTCTTGCGTTTGAGCGCGAAATTAAGCTTCATATATGCTTTTAGTTGTCTCGATCAGAATGGTGAACACTACTTTGTTGATTTTTTGGTTCATTACACAAGCAAATGATTTTATTTTCATAGTAGCTTCCTTGACTTAACTGAGGCTAAAAGTAAGTAATCAGCCAACTAGGATCAACGAGGAAACCCTTTTTTAATATTTCCTGTTAGGACTCCACCAGATTTTGGAATCTTAGTCTTTATTGTAAATTGGTCATGAAGTTTAACTTCTTGTTCCCTTATATGAATCATGTGGTGAAGTTAAATCAAGAATTTGATGTTAGGGTCAAAAGGTGGTTTTGCATTACAACCCAAAAGTCTGAAGATGGAACTGATTTGCTGACTTACCAAAGTGCCATATCAACTGTTTAGGAATACTTTAAAATTTAAAAGCAGTCTATGCGATTTATATATAAGCTCAAAATACAACATATTTAACATATTCCAAGTTCACTGAAAAAGTACTTTGTAGATTTTCTTCTTGGATTGGAAATAAATCTGTCAGTGACATTTTGTTAATTGCCTGCCACAGTACACTCAATTCGTATCCTTAGTGGTCAACACGTATTTAGCATGATCCTTTATTTTAACAATTAAAATTTCAAATTTTTAAAAGTGTAAAATACCTGAACCAAGAACTGACATTTCATTTAACAATAAAGGGACCCTTCTGAAGACTAGTAAGTAAGATCTTCCCTTGGAATTTTTACAGGCACTTTATCCTCGTCGCGTGTACTGACCTCACGTCGTTGTACTCTTTAGTTCTCTTTTTTCTAGCATAACCCTTTATTTAGACCAATTAAAATTTCAAATTGACGAGAGCAAAATGTTCAATGGTTAAAGCGTTATTTTTTTTCCGCTTTTTTCTGATTTCCGAGCCCTGAGTTACTTGTGTGTTGAGTTGTTTCTCCAGGTTTTCTTATCATCCTCCTTCCAGAAAAAAAAACCAACGCTCAAAATGCCTATTTCACATATCGAACAATGGAGAAATAGCCATATGGTGGAACTGCTACAGCGATAATCCACCAAATCGAATCAATTCATTTATTTAAAGAAGCTTTTCATCCATTGATCTTGACGTCTGAGTTCAAGAAATATATTGGCTGCAATGCATTCACGCCATCAGAACATCAGAGGCATCCATTTTTTTTTTTCATTAAATGTTTTCCGTGTTCAAGTTCTTTTGCTTTCATCAACTCCTTTTGCCTAAATTCCTGAAATTCTTCTGGCAATAAATCTAATGTTGAAAACGACTTTCCACATGGACCGAGTTTACTTCAGTTTTCTCGGTAACAAGTTACGTTCTTGTAGTGAGTAGGCTTAACAAGGAAAAGTGATGAAGGCGGTTAAATGAAAGGCGCTACAAATGGGTCCTCACTGAGAAATATGAAAGTTTTAAGTCCTTATAAAATTTAATGTTTTCGATGTTTTGCCATCTGCGAGACGGTGCGACCCGTTTGACTGTAGGATCGAGTCTACGAGTTATAGGTTCCAGAATATTTTACCAAATTAAGTTTGTAAATCAGTTACTATTCACCACAATAGGACAGAACAGGAAGTTGTAACGACACCGGGAAGTGTGAATTTGCTTTTCGCTTTCTGATTGGCTTTAGTTCCAAGTATTTTCTTAGCGGAAAACAGTCTAGACTGGCTAGTCTTAAGCACAAGAATTAATCGCGAGGGCTAAGTGTTAAAAAGTTTAATGGCGTGTGTAACCCTGAGTTTGTTCGCGTCTCTCTTCATTTTGGCATCGTCAAGCAAAAAATCAGGTGATTATAATTTGTTGTAGCCCAAATATTTCCTCATCCAGTGGTCACTGTTTTATTCCTAGGATCGTTTCCGTGTTATTTCTTCAAATCAATGCTTATTTTGGAACTTCGCTAAAACCATTCTTGGACAAAGATTCCACTAATTTGTTGTTATTTGAACAAGAATGATGGTAAAACAACTTTTGCTACGTTTAAAAGGCTTGTAGCTCGCTATACTCTCTTTGGGCTTGTTTTGTTTAAAGCCGAGATTATTGTGGTCAATTTTAAAGCTACTTAGAAATCTCACTGATGCTGATCAGATGAAAATATCAACCGATATGTAACACTTTCATTCTTGAAGTTCATATATTTTGAACTGCGGTATTAGATACGTATGATAATAAATAGCGTTCTCTTCTGCGAGGATCGTGCATCCTACTTACTTTCATTCTTAGTGGGTCGTTCGCTTTCGTTGCTCTTTAATTCACACCAAACCCACATTAATAGAAAAGGAATGAAATGTAATGGCCTTCAGAAAAGAGCAGCAAGAGAAAAGTAGACACTATTAGATTCGCGTTGAATGTCGGATTTTTGAGGAGTCTAAACAAAATTGCTGTTTACTTAACATTGAGCTTTAAAGAGGGCAACTTGTTATGACGGATGTGAAGTTTCGAGATCTAGAGACACGTGTTTAAGCACACCACCCACTATTTCTTTATCCGTGATATCTTATCTTCGTAAGAAAGTTATTCGCAAAAATTTCTTCTGTAGTCAGACCTCTCGCTGAGTAAATTGGCCTCTCACGCGAAAACGTTCCTAACGGTAGCCGTTCGAACAGTGAACGGAACGGCAAGCGAACGGGTGACGAACGGCTTGGAAAGCCGTTCGAAACGGATACTGTGAACGGATGAACGGCTAATTAAAATTTTCGAACGGATGAGGTCAAACGGATGAACGGCTAATGAAAATTTTCGAACGGACAAGGTCGAATGGATGAACGGCTAATTAAAATTTTCGAACGGATGAGGTCGAACGGATGAACGGCTAATTAAAATTTTCGAACGGATGAGGTCC